AAGCATTTCTGAGAGTTAAGTTCATAGCACTACAGGGCTACCTCAAAAAAACAAGAAAATTTTCTAATAGACTATCTAACCTCACAACTTGAAGAACTAGAAAGCAAACAACAACAACAACAACAACAAAACCCAGAGCAATTAGAAGGAAGAAAATAGTAAAGATCAGAGCAGACACAAATGACACAGAGTCCCAAAAAAAAAACAATTCAAAGGATCAATGAAACAAAAAGCTGGTTTTACGAAAAGATAAACAAGGTTGATGGACCCTTAGCTAGACTCACCAAGAAACAAAGTGAGAGATCCCAAATACACAAAATCAGAAATGAAAGAGGAGAAGTAACAACTGACACCACAGAAATACAAACGATCATTAACAACTACTATGAACAATCACATGGCAACAAATTCGAAAATCTAAGCGAAATGGACAAATTTCTAGAAATACATAGTCTCCCAAAACTGGACCAGGAACAGATAGAAAACTTGAACAGACCAATAACAACAGAAGAAATTGAAGATGTAATCAAGACTCTCCCAGCAAACAAAAGCCCAGGCCCAGATGGCTTCACGGGGGAGTTTTGCCAAACATTCAAAGAAGAACTAACACCCATTCTTCTCAAACTATTTCAAAAAATTCAAGAAGAAGGAAGACTTCCGAACTCGTTTTATGAAGGCAGCATAATTCTAATTCCAAAACCAGAAAAAGACACTACAAAGAAAGAAAACTACAGGCCAATATCCCTGATGAACATAGACGCCAAATATCTGAACAAACTACTAGCAAATTGGATCTAGCAATACACCAAAAAAATTATCCACCATGACAAAGTGGGATTCACCCCAGGGAGGCAAGGCTGGTACAATATTCACAAATCAATAAACGTGATACACCACATAAATAAAATGAAGAATAAAAACCACATGATCATATCAATAGATGCCGAAAAAGCATTCGACAAAATCCAGCATCCGTTTCTGATAAAAACGCTCAGCAATGTGGGAATAGAGGGATCATATCTCGACATATTAAAGGCCATATATGAAAGACCTACAGCCAATATCATATTTAATGGGCAAAAACTAAAAGCATTTTCCTTAAGAACAGGAACAAGGCAAGGATACCCACTTTTGCCACTCTTATTTAACATAGTACTGAAAGTCTTAGCCACGGCAATCAGACAGAAAGAAAAAATAAAAGGGATCCAAATTGGAAAGGAGGAAGTGAAACTGTCACTATTCTCAGACGACACAGTACTATACATAGAAAACCACAAAGACCCCATCAAAATCTTATTAGACTTAATAAATGAATTTGGAAAAGTAGCAGGATACAAAATTAACATCAAGAAATCGATGGCATTCTTATACACCAATGATGAATTCACAGAAAGAAAAACTAAGGAAACAATCTCATTTACCATTGCAGCAAAAAAATTAAGATACCTAGGAATAAACTTAACCGAAGAAATAAAGGACCTATTCGCAGAAAACTACAGGTCATTAAAAAAAGAAATAGAGGAAGATATAAAAAAGTGGGAGCACATACCCTGTTCATGGATTGGAAGAATTAACATCATTAAAATGTCTATATTACCCAAAGCAATCTATAGATTCAATGTAATCCCCATTAAAATACCAATGGCATACTTCACAGAATTAGAACAAGTACTTCAAAATTTCAGACATCATACGCAGCAGATTTTTCACTGATACATCACCTAAGGCAATAGAAACAAAGAAGAAAATGAACACATGGGACTACATTAAACTCAAAAGCTTCTGCACAATGAAAGATACAATCATCAAAAAAGACCTCGAGCCCTGGCCAATTTGGCTCAGCGGTTAGAGCGTCGGCCTGCGGTCTGGAGAGACCCGGGTTCGGTTCCCGCTAAGGGCACGTACTTCGGTTGCAGTTTGTCCCCGGCCCTGGTTGGTCGTGCGGGTGGCAGCCACTCGATGTGTCCCTTCACGTCGATGTTTCTCTCTCTCTCTCCCTTCCTCTCTCTCCCTCCCACTCTATCTGTACAAAAAATGGAAAAATGTCCTCGGGTGAGGATAAAAAAAAAAAAAAAAAAAAACCTCGAATAGCTATAGAAATCTTGAAAAAAAAGGACAAAGTTGGAGGGATCACATTACCAGATTTCAGGTTATACTACAAAGCCACCGTAATCAAAACAGCCTGGTACTGGCACAAGAACAGGCATATAGACCAGTGGAACAGAACAGAGAACCCAGAAATGGATCCAAGGCTACATGCTCAATTAATATTTGACAAAGGTGGCAAGAGCATACAGTGGAGTAAGGACAGCCTCTTTAATAACTGGTGCTGGGAAAATTGGACAGCTACATGCAGAAAAATGAAACTAGACCATCAACTTACACCCTAAACAAGAATAAACTCAAAATGGATAAAAGACTTAAATGTGACTCATGAATCCATACAAATCGTAGAAGAAACTGTAGGCAACAAAATTTCAGACATCGTACGCAGCAGAATTTTCACTGATACATCACCTAAGGCAATAGAAACAAAGGAGAAAATGAACACATGGGACTACATCAAACTCAAAAGCTTCTGCACAGCGAAAGATACAATCATCAAAATGAAAAGGCTACCCACTATATGGGAGAGCATAATTGTCAATATATCAGATAAGGGGTTAATTTCCAATATATATAGAGTGCTCATACAACTCAACAAAAGGAAGACAAAGAACCCAATTAAAAAATGGGCAGAGGAACTAAATAGACACCTCTCCAAACAGGACATACAAATGGCCAAGAGACATATGAAGAAATGCTCAACATCACTTATCATCAGAGAGATGCAAATTAAAACAACAATGAGGTATCACCTCACACCTATCAGAATGGCTGCCATCAACAAATCATCAAACAACAAGTGTTGGCGAGGGTGTAGAGAAAAGGGGACTCTAATACACTGCTGGTGGGAATGCGGACTGGTGCAGCCACTATGGAAAACACTATGGTGTTACCTCAAAAAATTAAAAATTGAACTTCCATTTGACCCAGTGATCCCACTTCTAGGAATACACCCTAAGAAGCCTGAAACACCAATCTGAAAGAATATATGTACCCTCATGTTTGTAGCAGCACTATTTACAATAGCTAAGATCTGGAAACAGCCCAAGTGTCCATCGGTAGACGAATGGAAAAAAAAGCTGTGGTACATACACACAATGGAGTACTATGCAGCTGTAAGAAAGAAAGATCTCTTATCCTTTGAGACTACATGGAGGGACCCTGGAAAGTATCATCCTAAGTGAAACAAGCCAAACAGAGAAAGACAAGTATTATATGATCTCACTTATTTGTGGAATATAATGAACATAAGTCTGAGGAATGGGGTAGTCCCAGAGATGTGGAAATGGGGTACAGACTGACAATCCCCAGAAGAGGGGGTGGTGGGGGAGAGATAAACCACAGAACTTATATGCATGTATGCATGAACAATGGACATGGACAACAAAGCTGGGAACAGGGCAGGGAGGGAGGGGAAGGGGGAATCAGTGGGGGAAAAGGAGAAACATCTGTAACAAAAATTAATTAATAAAAAAATAAAATTGAAAAAAAAAAAAAAAGAATGGATAGCTGTCTCATCAGATGCTTTTGTTTAGGCAGATGCACTAATCCTTCTAAGCGTATTCACTCAATGTACTTAATGTATTTTGGAGCATCTACAAAAGGAAGGAGCGCTTTCTTAATCAGTATAAATAAAAATTACTTTTGGACTGTTAGTAGAAAAATAGATGCCTAGAGGTGACACAAAAATGTCTGTAAAGATTCTAGTTTAAAAGTAATTTCTATTTCCTAGGGTGTGGCACAGTAGGTACCCATATGCACATGTACATGTGTGTGTGCACAGGATAATGAACATACACATATGTTACAGCTTACCATATTACAGTAATTATTAAGTAATCTAAAAGTCTCCCTTTTTCAGCATAGTATACTGTCTGGCACATAGTATATGCTCAATAAATTCTTGTTGGATGAATTAACTCCTAAACAAAGAACTATAAGTTGACATTTGATTTTGCTTTCTAAAACATAACCTACAATGGCAATCTCTGAGTGAGAACATGTGAAGCCAGACAGAAGGACATTTGGAACATATGCTATAGCAGACAGCATTGGTGTCCCACTTATATCCCCATGACCTTCACCATTTCCATGCATTTTCATAGTAATGCCCTGGGAGCAGCCCTCCCCACTGGCTGACAGGAGTTGGTGGGTTAAAACCTGCTCCCTCACCCCTCAGGGAGGATAATTCCATGGCACATGTTCTATTTCATCTCCCAGAGTCCCTCAGGGGCACTGAGCTCCAGCTGCCCACAGTGGTAACCGACCTGGTAGCACAGCTCTTACCGGCTGCCTTTTGTCCCTGTCTCCCTCTCCGCTGCCCTAGTGGTGCTTCCTGAGATCACATCTCTCAGAAACAACATTCAGCCCTGGCCAGTGTGACTCAGTTGGTTGTAGCATTAGCCCATACACCAAAAGGTGGCAAGTTCGATTCCCAGTCAGGGCACATACCCAGGCTGCAGGTGTGATCCCTGGTCAGGGTGCATACGGGAGACAACCAATCAATGTCTCTCTCTCTCTCTCTCTAAGAAAAACTATTTTTTTAATTATAAAAAATAAAATTAAATTAAAAACAAATTATATTCAAAGCCTTGCTTCAGGATCAGCTTCTGGGCAACCCAGACAGAGACAGCCGCCTTCAATTATTTCATGTCTAACACTTCTCCACATGAGCATGTGTGTGCGCTTGAAATGCAATGCAAGTGAGCCAGTGCCATCAATGAGCACTTTCTGTGTGAAATTCAAACACTCTAATGAGTGTCAAAGAACCACGATGAAGGGTATGTCTCTTTCCTAAATGACCACGGCTTGGTGGCCATTTAACAGAGAGCCCTGTCCTGCGTGTGGCTGCTCCACCTACATTCTCAAGGCCCCTGTTAATTAGACAAACGATATGCGAGCAAAACAAATCTTTTTAATTAGGTTTCATTGGCAATGCCAGACAGGCCAGCTATGATCTAATCCAAACAGGAAGCCTCACTCTGTATCCTTTGTTCTATATCAAGGTACCTCCCGACAGTGGCCCAGAGGCCTTCCCCTTGGAGCCTAGGCATTGTGACAGCCATTGTCTCCCAGATTCTTCTTGTTTGCCTTTGTCTTTCCAGTCATGGTCTCCACAATAACAGCAGTTTCTTCATATGTCTGAATGCTCTCAGTTGAAAATTTCTCAATGGATTCCGTTACTTCCACCTTCTCATATGCCAAAGTCCTGGGAGGGCTTCTCTCTTGCAGGCTGCCACTCCTATCTCCCTGGCCCTCAGATCCACCCTGACTGGCCCCAGGCCTTTGGGGTGAGAGTGCAGATGGTCCCTCTGGACCAGGTGTTACCACAAGACAGGGCCTCCTGAGCCCTTCATCCTCCTTCTGGTTATCATGCTTCTCCCTGGGACCTTTCAGTTCTTCAGTATTTATCTCATTTTCCTTGTCTGCAGTATGCTGGTTGGGTGGGTGACCATCTTCTCGCCCCTGTGGACCCCCCTGTCTATTCTCCAGAGGGGGCTGGGGCTGCCCGGGAGAGGGCTCCACAGTGCCATCACAATGCAGAGAGTCGTCTTCAATGGAAACAACCACTCCACCTCTGATTGGGGCAGACAAGGCACAGAACCCAGGGTCCAGGTAACTGGCATCCCCAGAGACCAGCACGTACCGGCCTTTGGTGTAGAGGTCAGCTGGGGACTCGGGCTCCTTGGGGCTTCTCACTCTCTCCTTGACCATCTTGCAGAGTTTCCCAAAGGCTTTGCTTACCTGCCCTCCATCTGGCACATCCCGTGGAGCCCCTTCTGGGGTGGGGGGACTTGCTTCCTCCCTCCCTGACTCATGCCTATCCTCCCCTTCTTCTTCAGCTGCCACCCGCGTCAGCTTGGTGTCTGCCGGACCTTTCAGTGGTGCACCTTCCAAACGTTCATCTGCTTTGTCTTTAGCTATAATCTCCTGTTTCCTTGGAACATTCTTGGGGAGGCCTTTTTGTCTTGGTTTTGCTGTTGTTATATCCTGCACAACCCTGGTGAAATCTTAAAAATAAAAAAATTAGATTAAAAAATAAATGGGCAATAGATCAAATATAATTGTCAATGAAAGAGGAAGAAAATGTATCCATTGAAAATTATGCTGCTTATGTTAGAGAACAATGCCTAGCACTGGGGTAGATTTACTATTTATGGGGCAAAGCAACAGAGAAAGAAGTCTAGATCTGTAATGTCCATAGGCCATGTTAAGGACCTAGCTCTGCCACCAAGTGTGCAACTTCAGACAAGTCACTTGACCCCTCTGGGTTTGCAAAGGAGAGGGAAGATACTTATTCTGACTCTCACCGCTCCCATCCCACTGGGTACAACTCACTGAGATGCATGATTCTACTACAATAATCCTTGGTAGGAGCAACGCCTCCTGTCTACCCCAGACCCCTGCTGAGCTCATAGTAGAGTAGCTACCTGGATCCACAGGCTAAACTATGAAAATCAATTTCAGTGATTCCCACCTTGGACTTCCCCAAGGGAGAGATGGCAGAGCTGCTGGGCCTCTGATATGCTCAGAATGGCTTCAGATATGGGAATCGTATGAATCCACAAGGCTGCTCCCTTGTTCCACATGCATCCCAAGCTAAATATGACCACTCCTTGGTGAGCATCCCTTTCCTCATGGGTAAAAAGGGGAAGTGATACTATTAAATTCAGAACTAATAGGAATCCCCTGTTCCCAAGGCCACATCTATTTCATCTGACTAAAAGGAAAAACTAAAATTTAAGAAAACATACAAAATATAACACTGCCTCATCCATGAGGCTTTTCTGCAACACTCACATGGTGATTTTTTTTTTAACTTTTCATCCCAAAGGTCTTCTCCATCCCCTCCCTCTGTTAACCAGAGGACTAAGCAAGGGCATCTAGCGTGACTCATGAAGAGAGAGAAGAGTGAGCAGGAAAGGGGCCATGAAGCCATAAAGGAGGAGGGGATGCAGAGAGGGACATGTCAAAGGAAGCCAACAGGGAGCAGATATGGAAGAAGAGGGTGCTTGCAGGACCAGCTAGAGAATTGCAGAGCCCAGTGCAAAAGAAAGAGGCAGGCCCCCTGTTCAAAATGATTAAGAATGCCAAGACTTGCCCTGGCCGGTTTGGCTCAGCCGTTAGAGCATCTGCCTGCGGTCCAGAGAGACCCGGGTTCGGTTCCCGCTAAGGATGCATACCTCAGTTGCAGTTTTTCCCTGGCCCTGGTTGGTCGTGTGGGTGGCAGCCACTCGATGTGTCCCTTTCACGTCGATGTTTCTCTCTCTCTCTCTGTTCCTCTCTCTCCCTCCCACTCTACCTGAACAAAAAATGGAAAAATGTCCTCGAGTGAGGATAAAAAAAAAAAAATGCCAAGACACATAGCAGAGCATGTGCATGGTCCACACAGCCCTGGAGCTGGCCCTGGGTGTCTGGGGACTTGGAACTGCTGCCCCTTCCAACCGTGTTCCAACTCTGGAACCCATTTCCAGAACCGTCTGAGCTTTCTGAGACATGGGGATTTGAAGGCACTCTCAGTGTGGGAAACTAACATTACCATCTTCTCTTCTCCCAGACACTGTGTTTGTTTGTCCAGGACTGGGAAAGTTTAGCTGTGGGTGGCATGAAACCATCCCCAAAGGACCAAATGTTGAAGACAGAAACCACGCTTGCCAACCAAGCTATTTCTGCTCAGCTGCGAACAGAAGACAAAATGTGCAATAATTGAGCATGTACTCTGCTACAGACACTGATTAAGCACTTTTTTATAGAATAATTAGGGGTGGGGCAGGAGGAAGAAGTGCAATTCAATATTCTGAATATTGAATTGTAATTTCCTCCCCATTAAATACTTCCCATTTGGGAATGGCATTCCCAAGGTGGTCTGTCCCCAAGTTTGATTTTTCTCCTGTGAATTTTTGGTTCAGTCCCTTAGCACTTGTGGGAGTATATCAGAGAGGGAGAGAAGGAGATGCCAACTAAAAGTGTTTAATTTCCTAATAGATTGATTGGAAGGAAGCATGAATGTTAAGTTCAAGGATAAAGCCACTTAATTTTTTCCATTTTTTGAGGGCAGAAAACAGCAGAAGCCAGGGTTGAGAAACATTACCATTCCTGCTGGGTCGAGGGCTGAGAGAGGCTCCGTGGCCTGAGGTGAACAGCATGACAGGTGTTTCAATGAAGGTGGAGCTCAGCCTGGCAGAAAGAACCAGAAAGAGGGAGCTGACATCTTTAACTCATCAAGCCAAACGGATGGTCAGGGGTAACAGTGACCCTCTAATTGTGAGCAAAAATAACAAAAGCTTCTCTAGATCCAGCTTCTCATGAACCACATACACATCTGCACACTGGATGAGGATGTAAAGGAAACATTCATTTCTTTGAGCTCAAGTCATAAACTGTGAAACACACTTACAGAAATTGTAAAGTGGGGATTGCTTATAATCTCAAAAGGCCAATTCTAAGTTGTTGTCGTGTTGTTTTTGTTTTTAAATAAAACAAAGCACAAGCTGAAGTATTTAGGGCAACAAGAGTATACTATCTCCAATTTGTTTTTAAAAAATAATATGCATTATGTATAAATAAAGAGAAAAAAGACAAAGCAATTGACACAAAATGTAAATCTGCTGAATCTGAATAAAAAGCATTCAGGAGTTGCTTCTTCTATGCTTGCAACATTTTTATCAACTTGAAATCAGTATATAAAATTAGAAGTTATACACAAACCAACAAAAAGGGCATCTGGGTACCTCCTGTGAACCCCTGCCTCCAAAACAAAAATCTTACACGGACATTTAAATGCCTGTTAGAGAATCATTTTCATAAATGTGTGCACAAAATGTTCACTGTGACATAAATCTAATTTGGAATTATAAAAGATACATTGACCATGACAACAGGGGAAAAATCTTGCTTTTCCTATTAAACATTCAAGTCCTTGTAGTGAAGACAGAGCACCCAGAGAAAAAGAAAGAACTGCTCCTTGTGGGGTACTTCTGGGTGCTTCTATTTTAATTCAATCTAAACCTAAAATATCAGCAAGAATAAATCAAAGAATCAGAACTTAATAGAGAATCAGAGTCCTTATATGAAGTAGCGGTCCCCAATCTTCTTTTTGATGATAATTACAGATATAAATATGGATATTAATATCCATGCAGCCATAGATGTACATGATGTAGTTTTAGGTGTAGATGTACATATACATGAAGATGTAAATATAGGTGATGTAGTGTAGATATACAGATAACACAGATGAAATGTAGATGTAGACAATGTAGTTGTGGGTGTAAATATGTATGTAGATAATGTAGCTATAGATGTAGGTATAGGTACAGACTTAGATGATGTGATTGTAGATGATATCGATGGTACAGATGTAGATAATGTAGTGTGTAGGTGTACCTGTAGGTAATACAAATGTAGATATAAGTATACATGATGTATACATATGTAGAGGTAAGTTTAAGTGTAAGTATACATATAGATACAGATGCTATAGGTGTAAGTGTAGATGATGTAGGTAATGTAAATGTAGGCATAGGTGCACACGTACATGTGGATGGTGTAGATGTAGGTTTAAGTGTAGACATAAAATGATATGGAGAAGAATTACAGGTAGGTGTAGGTAAAGATACAGATGTAGATGAAAGAGACAGAGACAGAGAAAAAGACAGAGATAGAGATAGAGATTTATTTCCCAGCTTGAAGCGAGTGGAGTTCAAGTCACAGCTCCATTACGGATAAGTAGGGGCACGCAGGAGGCCATCGATCAATGTTCCTCTCTCACATCTATATTTCTATCTCTCCCTCCCTTCCTCTCTCTCTAAAAAATCAATAATAACATTTTTTAAATTTTTAAAAAATAAATACTCCTGATCATCCCATCTGCTAAGACAGTTATATCCCCAGAGGCCTGTGAAGCAAAAAGTAGCCTTCTCCATGAGACTGTTTCTGACTGCTCAACTCAAAATTTCAAACATCCCCACTATTACTCCCATCTCTAGTCCCCTCTTCCCTGCTATAATCTCCTCCTTAGTACTTGTCATAGGTCATACTCCTTCTGTTACAAATTTGTTCATCATCTGTCGCCCCCACTAGTATTCAAGGCCCATGAGGTCATGCTTTCTGTGTTTCATTTCCTGCCACAGCCCCATTGCCTAGGACTGGCGCACAGGAGGCACTCGACAAGGGTTTGTGGGCTAAGTGAGCGAGCAGCATGGAGAGGGAGGCAGTCTCTCGGCTGTGCCCCTCTGTGACCACACCTGTTGCCTTCGCTCTCAATGATCCGATGATACCGCTCCAGCTCATTCTTCAGGGTTTGCTGGGCGACCACCAGCTGCCGGCAGTCATAGGAAGACTTCTCCAGGCTCCTCTCAGTCTCTTCAATCTCCTTCCGCAGGGTTTCAATCTGTTCATTATAGAGCTGAATCTCATCATCGTAACACTCGTGGGCATCCTTAATAGCTTGTTCCAGGGTCACTGTCTGCGGGCAATGACAGAGCTGTAAGAAAACCCACCCCATTCTCTCCCTCAAGACCCAGACTTGACAGGAAAAATCTGGACTCAGCGCGTCAAGTTTTGTTTTGTTTATTTCTTCTCAGTAATGGAATCATGTTGGAATCCTTAAGCCAAAGAAGAATGTGAAAACTGAGCTCCCTCTCCTCACACCTGCATCAGCTTCCACAGAAATCAGCTCTCAAAGGCAGTCCGAAGAGGACAACCTCAGAAAGTAAGAAGACTGCTGTCCATGGAATAAAATGTACAATTCAAATAAAGTATATTCTTTATACTTCAATGAGTTTGGCATAAATCTGACAGCTAAAAAATAAGTAAAAAGGAGAACACATTCTAAACAGATAAGATGCTAATTTTACTGAAATAATTCGGGGGGGGGGACATTACCTTGTTCTCCCTCCCCCAATTTTTATTAATTTATTTTCATTTCCTTGTTCTTAATCACTATGGTGCTTTATTTTTATTTTTTTTAAGATAGAGTGGGAGGGAGGGAGAGAGAGAAACATCAGTGTGAGAGAGGCACATCAATTGGTTTCCTCCTGCACGACACCAACCAGGGCCGGGTATCAAACCTGCAAACCAGATACATGCCCTTGACTGGGAATCAAACCCGCAACCCATGGGTCTGCCAGCCAATGCTCTAGCTGCTGAGCCAAACCAGCCAGGTCTGGTGCTTTAATTTTCTCCTGATAATATGTTTTGGTAGCCAAAATGTATGTGTGTGTGTGTGCCTGTGTGTTTTTGCATGTGTGCACACTCGTGTATACATAAAATAACTTCAGGGAAATCCTATTTACATATTAATTCAAAGGAAGTTAAAATTAAGGTGGGAAAATAGAAAAGGTGGCCTTATATTTACTTTTTATATTTCAGAGCTTGTATATTCTGACAATATACAAGGAGCCACTTACTAAACCAGAGGGGTAGAAACAGATTCAGTGGTTGCCAGGGGCCAGGGGGAGGTGGAGGAGGGGTTGACTACAAAAGGACAGCTGAGGCAATTTTGGGGTGAGGGAATTGTCCTAAATCCTGATTGTGGTTACTGCATGCAACTGTCAAATAAATGTACTGTGCATTGAAGAGAGTGATGATATATGTAAAGATCACCTTGGTTAAAAAATTATGAGACAATGGGAAATCTGATTCCTCACTGGACAGTTAGTGATATCATAAAATTATTAATTTTTAAAGGTGGGTTAATGGTCTTGCATTCTATAAAAATAACCTTCATCTTTTGGAGATGTATGTTGAAATATTGCTGGATAAGATGACATGGTGTCAGGATTGCCTCAGAACTACATGGGGGGGGGGGCATGTGTTGGAGGATGGGAATATGGGGCTCATGAGACTATTCTCTCACTTTTGTATGTTTGAAGTGTTCCAGAATAAAAAGTAAGAGAATGAATGATGTATGAAGAGAGCTATCAACCACTTGGGTATGGGTTCCCCAGCCTTGAGTGACAGAGTAATGATTGTGCTAGTGAGTTCTAATGTGGATCAACTCATCAACCTCACAACAAACCTAAGCAGTTGTTATTCCCACTTTACAGATGATGAAACTGAGGTACACAGGCAGTGATCTGCCCATAGATACTACAGCAGGATTCAGACCCACTTGTATAGGTTGAGTCACTTCCAGAAACCATGGACCCTGCCACCTCAGCCTCATCCCAGCAGTGGATGAGCAGTGTGCATGCACAGACACACACACACACACACACACACACACACTCCAAGGCCCAGGGAAAACCTCCCATTCCCACAGATCAACAGGCAAGCACCACTAGGCTGTTCTCACAGAAGACACAGGGGACTCAGTGTGACCCCCATCAAGCCCCTCCCTATGCATGTTCACTTAGCAAACTTTTAAAATGCAAACAGGATAGCAAAGGGTTGTTATAACTCAGTGCCATTGACCTAAACTCCCAGAGGCCTTCACGACAACCAAAGGGGTTGTCAGTTTACTCTTTTACTGAAGAACATTCTTCACTAACTAATCCCTAAGTAATCGCTAAACCTGGGGTAATGACTAACCCTTGAGTAATCCTGGGCGGCACCAGCGATAATCTATTGAAAACATCTTGACCTTTGAGATGTCTGGGAAACTGAGTAACAGGTAATTAACTAACTGCTAAATTCCACTTCTGTAACATGCTTGCTTACACGTAGCAACCCCCTTACAAAATCCTATAAAAAGGAGCCATTTTAGCTCTCCGGGGCCGCAGTTACTCCTGTGTGGGACATACTGCAGGTGCCTGCGGACTTAGCTCAATAAACTCCTTTTATTAAACCCCATCTCGGCATCTGAGTTTGGTCGATCTCCTGGGTTACAACAGGGTTGTCACAAATTGGAAAATCAGGAACTAGGAAAGTGTCATCTATAATCTTTGGACTGTCAGGGAAAACATGATCTTTCTTCTATCTCATGAGTCGGCGGGTGGCTGTCCTGTGCTGGAGTCTGTGGGAGGATCAACTGCTCTGGGAGGGAGGCTCTGTGGATGACTTCCAACCTGTGACTGGCACTGGTGCTCCACGTGGTTCTGCCTGAGTCACCAAGATCCCACAGTCCAGTTAAATGCTGACCAGGTTTATAAAACTAGACTTATGTCCACATTGATGTGGCCTTTATAGCTCAATCATTTAAACTATTCATCAGAAGGAGAAGTGCTCAGGAAAAATAATAAGAGCCCCACTTTCAGCAGCTCCAAGGAGACTCAAGTGCTGTCTCTGAGGTGAGCGACCTCAGCACAGGTGTAGGGAGCTGTCCAGCACCCGCCTGGCTGTTGGAGAATGAGGCATGGACCCTCCTTCTAGGAGCCAGCCCACAGTCCAGTGGGGAAGGCAGCTTGGTCACAGAGACATGCCCAGGGCATCACAGAGCACATAGAGAGGCCCTGTGGTGCTGAAGGATGTCAGAGAAGGCTTATAGAAGGTGGTAAGACCAGTTCTGGGTACTGAAGAGAAAAAGGGACTTCCAGAAAGAGAAGTGATGAGAAAAGGGACAGGTGCCAGGAACTGCAGGAGGAGTTAGAGGAGAAGAGACAACAGTCCACAGCCAGCCCAGGACTTCTTGGGTGAAAGCAGCCAAGTGGATACTGGAGTGAGGCAGGTGGAAAGTGTGAGCCAAGTGGCAAGTTGAACTTCATCCTGAGCTTAGCAGTAAAGGTTGAATGGAAGAGTAAGTGTTCAAGCAGAGCTGTGGGACTTGTCTTTGAACAACAGGGGTAGAGAGGGACCCAGGAAACCATCTCACAGTGAGGATTTAAAAAAAAAAAGGAAACAAAATCAAGTGTCTTTCACTGATTACAGTCTTACCCAAATCTACCACTAGGTGGTGCTAAGCAACTTCAGTGAAAATACAGTGGAACCTCCGTTTTGGAACTTAATTCATTCAGGAAGGCTGTTCGAAAAGCAATTTGTTGGAAAACCTAATTATTTTTTCCCATTAAAAATAATGTGAATTGAATTAATCCATTCCAGACTCACAAATGATTCCCTATTTTAACCTTTCTTATATATAGTACATGTCTAATGTACTGCTTAATCTGTAAATAAACTTTTTTTTCTTCCATGTATCACCCTCTACTGGCCTACAGGAATCACTCCCAGCTCTCGTTCCAGGGTATCTTTCAGGAGGTCAGTATGCAGCATCTTCACCATCTTTGCTTTTTCTCATCACTGCCTCTGAAATGCTGTCACCAGCTAACTGCCATTTGTTTATCCAAATCAACAACAGTTTTCTACCTCAATTGCTTCCTTCACACCCTTAGCAACATTAGCACTCTTGATGGCCTCTTTATGTTTTTAAATTGTGCTAATCTTTGATTTCACCAGCAACAAAAGCATTGTCTCCTTTTTTTTTTTATCCTCACCCGAGGACTCTTTTTTCCGATATTTTGTTCAGATAAAGTGGGAGGAAGAGAGAGAGAAACATTGACGTGAAAGGGACACATCAAGTGGTTGCCACCCACATGACCCAACCAGGGCCGGGGACAAACCGCAACCGAGACACGTGCCCTCAGCAGAAACCGAACCCGGATCTCTCTGGACTGCAGGTCAATGCTCTAACCACTGAGCAAAACTGGCCAGGGCCATTATCTCTTTTGTATGTTGCCTGAGAGATGCTTCTAGTCATGCTGAGGTATCAGCCTGAAAGGGCTGTCATGTCGGAAACAAAAGTTGGGGTCAACAACCAAAACATTTTTTCTGTGGAAAATTTGGTCCAGAACTGAATTGTTCCAGGTGGGAGACATTTAAGAACTGAGACCTGATTGTGTCATGACAGCTGGGAGGGCCACACTTTCCAAGCAATACATGACATTTTTTCACTTTCCTCCCACAGAAATTTTCAGTCAATGCAATTTAGCCAACAAAAAGTGCCTATCCTTTCTTCCACCTGTAAGAAGTGCCGTGCCAAAGGAATGGGTACTGCCTCTCATCCTGTTGCTCAGTGTTCTCAAACTTGAGTCTTTGGAAAAACTTGGAGGGCCTGTTAGAACAGAGCTCCTGAGTCAGTAAGTCTGGGATGGGTCCATGAGTGTGCAGGTCTGTCACGTTCCCAGTTGAGGCTGATACTGCTGGTTCCGAGACCTCACTGGGAGACCTTGCTATGAGGAGTTCTGGAAGCATCAGATGCTCTAACCATAAGCAGAATCAGCTGGCACAGCCCTGCCAGGTTGGAATCCTCAGGCTACAAGGGGCTCTTCCTCCTTTATTTCCCCAACCAAGTCTGGCAGTCATAGTTGGCCATGACACCAAATCTCTCTTTGAGCAGTCAGTTTAGCTACTACTTGTGAACCCACTAAAACCTTTTTCTTTTAAATATCTTTTATTCTGGTGCAGCCACTGTGGAAAACAATATGGTGTGACCTCAAAAAATTAAAAATTGAACTTCCATTTGACCCAGTGATCCCACTTCTAGGAATATACCCTAAGAAGCCTGAAACACCAATCAGAAAGAATATATGTACCCCCATGTTTGTAGCAGCACTATTTATAATAGCTAAGATCTGGAAACAGCCCAAATGTCCATCAGTAGATGAATGAATAAAAAAGCTGTGGTACATATACACAATGGAGTACTATGCAGCTATAAGAAAGAAAGATCTCTTATCCTTTGAGACTACATGGAGGGATCTGGAAAGTATCATCGTAAGCAAAACAAGCCAAACAGAGAAAGACAAGTATCATATGATCTCACTTATTTGTGGAATATAATGAACATAACAGTTTGAGGAATGGGGTAGTCCCAGAGACGTGGAAGTGGAGTACAGACTGACAATCCCCAGAAGAGGGGGTGGTGGGGGAGAGATAAACCACAGAACTTATATGCATGTATGCATGAACAATGGACATGAACAACAAAGCTGGGGACAGGGTGGGGAGGGGGGAGGGGGGAATCAGTGTGGGGGAAAAGGAGAAACATCTGTAACAAAAATAAATTAATTAATTAAATATTTTTTAAATTAAATATGTTTTATTGACTTTTTTAGAGAGAAAAATAGGAACATTAAATGTGAGAGAGGAACATCGATCGGCTGCCTCCTGCACGCCTCCTACTGGGGATAGAGCCCACAACCTGAGCATGTGCCCTGACTGGAAATTGAACCAGGACCTCTCAGTCCATGAGTTGATGCTCAATCCACTAAGCCACACCAGCTGGGCACTAAAACCTTTTAAAATCAGCAAAAAGCCCTAGCCAGTTTGGCTCAGCCATTAGAGCATTGGCCCTCCAACCAAAGAGTTGCGGGTTTGATTCCAGTCAAGGGCACATACCTCGATTGCGGTTCCATCCCTGGCCCTGGTCAGAGTCGTGCAGGAGGCAACCAAGCCATATGTCTCTCTCACCTCTCTCTCTCTCTCTCTCTCCCCTCCCTCCCTCCCTCCGTCTCCTACCCTCCTTCTCTCCCTTTCACTCTATCTAAAAATCAATGAAAAAATATCCTCAGGTAAGAATTTTAAAAAATAGATTAATTAATTAATTAATTAATTAATTTAAAAAATCAGCAAAAAGCCAGCCATGAACACCTCTTGAATAAGGCTGTGGAGGACCCAAACCCAGACTCAGGTAGACCAAATGTAGAACCTGGTACCCATCTTACATCAGTGTTCTCAAAGTGTGATTCCTGGACCAGCAGCAGCACCTGGAAACTTAGACATGCAAATTCTTAGGCCATACCCCAGACCTACTGAGTCAGAAACTCTTGGGTAGGCCCAGCCACATCTGTATTTTAATTAACGCTAATTAGGCAAAATTTTAGTCCCTATGACCTTTGCCCCTTGGTGTTACACTCATGGTATATTCATTACATGGCAAAAGGGACTTGACAGATGTAATTAAGGTTCTTAAGCAGTTGACCTTAAAAAATACAAAGAGTATTCTACTTATTTCTAATCACATGAGCTCTTAAAAGCAGGAGTCAGAATAATTAGACGCAAAAGAACGATCCGAGGCACCATAGCTTGCTTTGAAGATGGATTGGTCATAACCAAGGATATGAGTGGCCTCTACAGCAACTCCTAGCCAACAGGCAGCAAAGAAATAGGGCCTCGGTCCCACAGGCACACAGAATTGAATTCTGCCAACAACTTGAATAATACTGGGAGAAATTCTCCCCCAAAGCCTCCAGATAATGACACCCAGGATGGCCAACATCTTTATTTTTCAGACTGTGAGACTCAGAACAGAGAAAACAACCAAGCCTGCCCAGACTTCTGACCTACAGAACTGTGAGATAAAGGAGTGCTGTTTTAAGACCCTGCATTTGTGGTAATTTATTACAGCAGAAAGAGAAAAATAATATAACTGTTTTTCATTAGATCTACTGCTAGAGTTTGTTACAGTGTCTCCCCTCATATGAGGGATATGATCCAAGACCCCCAGTGGTCACCTGAAACCACAGACAGCTCTGAACTTGCACCTTTTCAATTAAAGGAAACACTTTAAGCTTCTCTTTGGTGTTAACGATTGCCAGCATTACTACTCTTGTGCTTTGGGGCCATTATTATGTAAAGTAAGGTTTACCTGAACACAAGCAATACAGCACAGTGGATCTGATAACCCCAGACAACTACTAAGTGACTAATGGCTGGTAAACATATGCAGTGTGGAGACACTGGACAAAGGATGATTCACATCCTGGGTGGGAGGGAGAGGGACAGCACAGGATTTCATCATGCTACTCGGAACAGCACTCAACTGAAAACTTATGAGTTGTTTATTTCTGGAATTTTCCATTAATATTTTCAGGCCACAGTTGACCACAGATAACTGAAATCATGGAAAGTGAAACCACAGATAAGGGGAGACTACTATATTTAATATAAGCACATATATTATTATATAGGATAGGACTTGGTAATATTTTGATAACTGTTTCAATATAATTGGTTTCCTCTTTATTATATTTACTTTATTGATATTATATGCCTTGAACATTTTTCTGAAAAGGGGTCCATGGGCTTCACCTGACTACCAGTGAGGGGCATGGAACAGAAGAGAAGGTGACACCCCTCCCCCACAATTCAGAAAGAAAACAACAGTCTATGGCCATACCACCCTGAACTCACCCCATCTCCTCAGAAAGAAAACCACATCAGAGTAAAATGAGTCTCTCTTTCTACAACTACTACAGGTGGGGCAAGTAACCAACCAGAGAGTTTTATTTCATACTCTCAGAAAGTAGATTCATTCTTTATGAAATGTTTTATTTTTATATTCAACAAATACTCATAGGTACATAGAGGGAGAAACATTTTGTTGCCCTGGAACTGGAATTCAACACATTATCTGGGCTCTCATCTTTCTCAGATCTGGGACAGTGTTTGTCAACTTCATGACCAAAGCCACAGGCAGAAACACATTTACATCATAGAACATAGATATCATGCAAATGTATGTGTTTGAACAAGTATGTATAGTTAAATATACATATATATTTATTTAAAACAACGTTTCACAAAACAAATCCTACTTTTTTCTTGCCATGCATTCTGTTATTTCTTATACTATCTTAGTCTAGTGTTGTTAATTTCTTCTTTTTTTAATTCCTGTTGATTCTACTGAATTCTCACACACACGCATATGTATGTGTGCACACACACACATACACATACTTCTACACATACATATACACATGTACACAATACACACATACACACACACACACACACACACACACACCCTTCCCTCTATCCTTTCAAGGCCTCAGAAGAAGCCAAACACTACCAACTCACCAAAACAGTGCACCATGAAAACAGGATTGAGATTTTCTGTTGAGATTAGTTTTCAAAATAAGATTCACCCCCCAAAAAGGGGGGGTAGAAGTTGTGAGCTTTCCACTAACAAATTCTGAGCAAAGCAAATACTGACACAACTACTCTCTCCTGGGTTAGTAATCAAAATCCAAAGGAGAAATTTTCAGTCATGAAAAGAGAAACAGGAAGCACAGATATGAAGAAATGTAGGATAAAAATCCCAACATGTGTCCATTTCTTATTTTAAAAACAATTTAAGTTTAAACTAGGCAAAAACAGATGGATTATGCTGACAGCCTTATCCTCGGTAGGGCAGAGGGCACGAGAGGGATCTTCTGAAGGGCTGGGGATTAGTGTGACCCACTGTCTCCTGTGCCCAGGACTTCTCCAGTGGCGTCCTGAGAAACCCCTCGGTCCAGGGCAAAGCAGGACAGCTGGTCACCCTACTCAGAGTGTTGTTTCTGGCTCTGAGGGCTGGGCACACAGGTGTTCTGAGTTTGTGAGAATCACTGATCTTGGGTATGTGTACATTCCTCTACATGCACCTGACACTGGATGAAAGTGTTGTGAACTCTGGCTCACACGTGTGGCTGAATGCCCAACAGGAATCAGTGGATAAGAGGATGCAGGACCTACCTGGGCCTGCAGCTCAGCTCTCTGTGCCTGCAGAAAAGACAGTACCTCCTGGCCTTCCTCCAGCTGACGCTGAAGGGCAGCTGCCTCTCGTTCCGTCAGGAGCTTCTCCTGCACAAAGAAGACCAGACTCAGTACTCACACACGCTTAATGTAGAGGAAAATGAAAAAAAGAAAGGGGCAGAAAAGATGTGGTGCCCCACCCTACAAATTCACATGCTGAAGCCCTAACCCCCAATGGGATGGCATCTGGAGGTGGAACCTTTGGGAGGTAATTAGGTTAAAATGAGGTCATGAGGGTGGGACTCCCGGAATGGAATTAGTGTCCTTATAAAAAGACACCAGAGCTCTCCCTCTGTCTGTGTTGGTTGCACCAAAGAAAGGCAACATGAGGACATAGTGGGAAGGCAGCATCAGCAAGCCAGAAAGTGGGTTTGCACCAGGAACCAAATCTGCCAGCACCATGATCTTGGACTTGATACCTCCAGAACTGTGAAATATACATGTCTGTTGTTTGAGTCACCCAGTGTGTCCCCAACATCTGAAGCATTAATGCTGTGAGTGTGAGTGAAGTGCAGAGACAGTGTCAGGAGACCTGCATTTCAGAGCTGGCTGTGCCACAAACTGGATAAGAGATGCTGGACAAGGCACCTTCCCTCCTGTCAAAAGGAAAACTTGGAATGCAGTTTCTCATTGGGCTCTATTCTGTGTGTCTGTGCAGTCAGCACAGCAAGGTCAGTCTGAGCCCAGAGCTGTCGACTGTGCTAAGACGTCACTGCTGTACAAAGCAGAAGTCAAGGGGCCACAAGGGGAGCCGGGGACATGGTGAGGCAGCTGCACCACCTATCAGTCCACAGAACATCCTCAAAGGAGATCCCTCAACCCTCCACACTCTGCAGAGCAGGCACCTGTTTCCATCCAACCTCTCCACTGGTTATTTGAGAACATCCAAATCGCTTCAGAAGAGCCTGACTGCTCAAGAGCAGTGCCTTCTGACACAGCATGCAGCCTTGCAGGAAAAATCAGAAACAGGCATTTTCCCAGTGCTCCCGTGTTCAAGGACACACGTTTAAGGCAGCCCCCTGCACTCCAAAACCCTGCAAAGTGGCTGGAGCAGCAACACAGACAGAGAGACAGCTAGAGCAACACGGATGTGCTTAAAGGGAGGACGTGAAAATCTAGTCCTGTGGCCTGACCCCATGGGGAAGGCAGGACTTGAGATGTAACTGCAGAAGGACCTTCTCAACTGTGTTTAGTTCTGTGTTTCTCAGTGAAAGGAATGCATGCTCTCACTGACTCTGCCTCTGTTTGTCTCTGTCCTCTTTGTTTCTCTGTGTCTCAGTCCCCACCTCCCTGCCTCAAAGGTGCAGAAAAGAGGGTGGCTGGGAGCAGAAGGGGACCTGTGCCCCTGTGTACCAGTAGATGGAGGATCTACACCACACTTGGAATTCTAGACCTGCAGCCTGGGGATGCTGGCCATCTCCTTCCAGCATCCTGCCTGCTTGTCTGGCCCCACCTTCCTCACTGTCCAGGACCTACTCATCTTACACCTCTCCCCACACCTGCCCACAAGGTGCCTCTCGTGTAGTTGGCCCTTGGATACTTGTTGAAGAGGAAGGCAGACAGCCCTATAGCTGTCAGCTGGTAGTTGTCACTAACCGTCAGGTTATGATGCTCCCTACTATAAACGTATAAACAATGCCACCCCAATATCCAAAGATGTCATTCTGGGACCATGGGGGAATGGGACAGAAACAAGACCCTTTGTGACTGTGCTGAGCTCAGACCAAAAGACCTCTGCATAACCACAAAAATGGCCAACTGTCCACTCTCCCTACTAACACAAGTGATGCTGCTAGATTACCAGGTGTAGCTTTAGCCACACTCCATTTCTCTGCCTCACTGACAGAAATTATCAAGATACTCAGCCACAGGACCGGTCCCCTCTTGAGAGCACCCAATCCAGAGCAGGGCCCTGACTACCAGGGCCCTGCTCTGGATTGGGTGCTCTGATCACACTGGGGTGTCCTGCGAGCCTCCACAATATACACCCTCCCTTCCTGCAGTAAAAAACTAACTCAGCTTTATGTGACCACAGATACATACCCCATGACCTCTGGTTAGAGGGCACTGACATTATGTTTACTAACACATTAACCAGTTGACCTGCGTTCCCATAATTAGCTAATTATATCCTCATGTGAGCAAATGTGGCAGACATTTTCTATGACATTAACAAAATGAAACAAACTTGAAAGTGACCATTTAACTCATATGTAGAGTTTTTAAACTAAGATTAATAAAGAATGTGATGCTTTCTAAATCTGTTTCTCCACCTTTAACATGCACATGGATTCCTGGATATCTTGCTAACATACAGATTTTTATACAAATTCTGCATGTCTAACAAGTTCCTGGGCAATGCTAATGATCGCTAATGATCCACTGATGCTCTCAAAATAAATCCAGACAGTCTCTATAATCTTACAGCTCAGAAGAATTCTGTCACAGGGAAAGGATGATATGATTTTAAAAGTGTGCTCTGGTGTAAAATACCTTTGAATTACAGGGAAAATATGTTTGCAAATAAAAACGAGGTGTCTGGAAAGAAATCACAGACAAAGGAAGTTAACGCTTTAGGAAAAGCTACATTAGGTCTTTGTAGCATCCTCAGATGCAACAGCTGAGAAGAGCAGGAACCTGAAATGATCATTAATATCTCAGTGGAAGGTCCAGTAAAGTGAGCTGCCTCTCAGATGTTATTATGCAGGATTCAAGAGTGTCTTTGACCCTGGCCGGTTTGCTCAGTGGTTAGAGCGTCAATCTGCAGTCCAAAGAGACCCGGGTTTGGTTCACGCTAAGGGCAGGTACCTCAGTTGCAGTTTGTCCCCAGGCCTGGTTGGTCATGCGGGTGGCAGCCACTCGATGTGTCCCTCTCACACTGATGTTTCTCTCTCTCTCCCTCCCACTCAACCTGAACAAAAAATAGAAAACTGTCCTCAGGTTAGGATTAAAAAAAAAAGAGTGCCTTTCAGAAGAAAAATAATGGCAGAGTGAACGGAAGCTACACAGTCTCCCAGAACCAAACTGGAATTACAACTATAACACAGACAAATTGATGGGAAAAAGCAAAGGAAAGCAGCTGGTGAGGACCATATAACGAGGGACACTGACTCCATCCTGGTAGGCTTGCGAAGGCACGAGACGGGAGCCCACGTCGGCAGCTCGGCAGCGGCCTTAGCTGGGAGCGGCGCCCTCGGGTTACACCCCCAAGCAGCTCCACAGCGCAGAGCCCGGACAGAGGCTGAAACAGCCACAGCCACTCACCTTGGACTACGGCAGAGGGAGGGCAGACTGGACTGGAACTGTGTGGGGACACTCGGGATTTGGAGGGCGCTCAGAGCTTTTGCTGAGTTCCAGCCACGCAGGACAACGGCCATCTTGCTCCTTCCCAGAGCTCTGGGGAGAGACAGCAGCCCCTCCCTCGGAGATCCAACCCCACCCTATGGGCCATTAAAGTGCTAATTGAAGCTCATTAACAACCAGCATCTGCCCCACCCTTGTGAAATCCCCTTGTGCTGAGCACCTGAGGGAGTTTTTCTATCAACTAACAACCCAAAACTCATCAAGTAACCTCGAATGCTAGCCTCCAGGCAAAAAGCTAACAGTACCTTTCCTGGGCTGGCAACTTTAACCAGGAAAGTAAGACTTGACAGTGGTGTTTACTTGGGTCCTCCCTCACTCATCTAAACACAGGAGAGGGAGCCACAAACAGCAGAACACCAACACCCACAGGGAAAACTTCACAGGCTCCAAAGCCCACAGTGATAGCCAAAATGTTGAAACACAGAAACAGAAGCCAAATGAAAGAGCAAGAGACCTCCACCGAAGATGAGATCAATGTGGAGCAATTAGGCATGTTAACAGAGCTAGAATTCAGAGCCATGATCTTGAGGAAGCTGAACAGCATGAGTAAGGACATAGAGACACTGAAAATAAGCCAAGTGGAAATTAAAAACCAACAAGAAGAGATAAAAAATGACATATCAGAAATGAAAAACACATTGGAAGGTTTAAAAAGCAGAGTAGAGGAAGCTGAGAACCGGATCAGTGAATTAGAAGACAGGGTAGAAAAAATCAACCAATCAGAAAAACAAAAGGAAAAAACTATTAAAAAACAGGAAGACAGCTTAAGAGAATTGTGGGACAACTGGAAACATAATAATATTCGCATCATAGGAGTCCCCGAAGAAGAAGAAAATGAGCAAAGGATAGAGAATATATTCAAAAAAATAGTGACAGAAAACTTCCCTAATTTGGTGAAGGAAGAAGGCATTCAAGTTCAAGAAGCACAGAGAGTCCCAAGTAAGAAGAACCCAAACAGGCCCACACCAAGACACATAGTAATTAAAATGCCACAAATTAAAGACAAAGAGAGAATCTTAAAAGCAGCAAGAGATAAGCAACAGCTTACCTACAAAGGAAACCCCATAAGGTTCTCAGCTGACATCTCACAAGAAACACTACAGGCCAGAAGAGAATCGCATGAAGTAATCAAGGTCATGAAAAACAAGGATCTGAATCCAAGACTACTCTACCCACCAAGACTACCATTCAAAATAGAAGGTCAAATAAAGAGCTTCCCAGACAAAAAAAAAAAAGGCTAAGGGAATACATTAGCACCAAACCAGCACTGCAAGAAATGTTAAAAGGACTGCTGTAATTAGCAGTAGAAATGGGAAGAAAAATAGAACCACACTAAACAAAAATGGCAATAAATAAGTGCATATCAATAATCACCTTAAAGGTAAATGGATTGAATGCTCCCATAAAAAGACACAGAGTAGCTGATTGGATAAGAAAGCATGACTCATCTATATGTTGTTTACAAGAGACCCACCTCACAACAAAAGACTCACATAGGTTGAAAGTGAAGGGATGGAAAAAAATTTTCCAAGCAAATGGAAAGCATAAAAAAGCTGGGGTAGCAATTCTCATATCCGATAAAATAGATTTCAAAATGAAGACCATAACTAGAGACAAAGAAGATCACTACATAATATTGAAAGGATCTATTCAACAGGAAGATATAACCTTGATAAACATATATG